GATAAAAATCCATCACAAATTTTATGTTTATATAAAGTTTCTACTATAAATAATTGATAAATAAGTATTGCAAATTTTTTTACTGTTAAAAGAATTGTTGCATTTAGACCCCGTTTGAGGCAAATTAGTGTAGAATTAGAATGAAAAATATAGTCGTTATTGTTGCCCACGTAAGAGATAGAAAATTTGAATTTAAATATGGATGTGATGAATAACGATCATATTTTTCATTTTAATGAGATAATAATATAGATCAAACGGAGGCTATATATTTATGTGGATGTAAATAGATGTTCCGTAAGGTTATATCATCACCTTGGTTTTTGGACAGAAGCTGACTCACCTATCTCAATTAAGCTGGTAAATTAATTAAATAACAACAATAAGAAATCCTGGAAGAGGCAATTAGAAGTAACAATCTCTCATTAACATGTTAATGGCAAGTAAAAAGTGATTTTTTTTCAAAAAAAAATGTAGTTAAAAATAGAAAAAAAATTAAGAAAATGTAAAAAAGTAATTATTTTTAAGAATATACAGTTGAATACGAATAAAAAAAATGGATTTTTTGCTGGTCAACTTTACCTTCCAATAGCAGCGTGGAATTCCTTGTAGACACAAAAATACGCTACTGTTTAAGTGGATAGGAAGGTACCCCGCAGATCCCAATAGTAAATAAATCTTGAAAGGCTTCCGTTAATCAACAATTGGTTAGGAGAATTCTGTAGAGATAATAACAATGGCGTCTTCTTCAGCACTGCCCGTTTTCAATAAAGGCCTCTTGCTTTCCACGCGGCAATTATCTTCTTCGAATTTTCATTCTTCTTCTGTTTTTATGTAAGTTTTCGAATTACTCAGTTGTTGGATGTTTTGTGTTTCTTGATTTTGTTTTAGTTGTTACAGGGTTTGCGGTTTTTTAGGTAAATTGTAGGTTCTGCTGGGCATGAAAATCTTCATAATCTGCCAATTAGGGACACAGCTGTGAATTTTTATACTTTCCTTTCTAATCCAAAAAAAAGGGTAAAAACCGGGAGTTTGGGTTCTTTTTGGATTCTTGCATAGATAGAAATTTTTCTTATTTCTCTTTGATTTGGGTGGGTAGTTACAATTATTATTTCAAGATTTCAGAATTAATTTGCATAAGTAATGATGAGATTGTGGATTCTCTTCAAGAGTTCAGAATAAAGGCTTTTTACTTTTCACAAAACTTGCATTTAGCTTCCCCTTACAGTACTAGGAGTATCAAGTAAAGGGTTTCTTCACTCAATTCATCGAATCGCTCACGGACGCTTCAACTGTGGTGGTGTGTCCGTCTCCGACATGTGTCAAACATCGACACTTCTTGAACATTATATCAAGATCATTTTTTTTTCTTTATTATAAATATTTAACTCAAAAGTAAATATTAAATAACAAATATATACTCATAATTAAAAGATATCAATAAGAAAAGTTAATAACAAGTATAAAACTAAGGGTGTGTTTGACACCCATTTTGGTGAAGAATAAATTCTGGAATAGTGAATAATGGGAAGAATGTATCGTTAAAAAGTAAGAAGAATTTTTGAGTTTATGTTTAATATTATTTTATTGATATAATGTGTGGTTGAAATGAAGAAAGAGAAAAAAAATGAGAAAGAGAATGGGAAGAGAATGGATGTCAAGCGGGGGCTAAATTTATACTATATATATGAAAAATTTTAAAAGAATTTAATCAACGTGTCGGTGATGTATTTTAATAAAGTTGACATTTTAGGGTGTGTTCGACACTCATTGTGGAGAAAAATAAATTTTGGAATAGTGATTGATGGGAAGAATGTGTGGTTGAAAAGTAAGAAGAATTTTTGGGTTTATGTGTAATATTATTTTATTGATAGGATGTGTGGTTGAAATGAAGAAAGAGAAAAAAAATGAGAAAGAGAATGGGAAGAGAATGGATGTCAAGCGGGGGCTAAATTTATACTATATATATGAAAAATTTTAAAAGAATTTAATCAACGTGTCGGTGATGTATCGTGTCGGTACTTTTTTGAAAAATATTGTGTCGATGTATCCAACACGCGTCACATGTCTGTGTAGGTGTATAATAGGTTCTAGGAGATTAATATACTTTCATAAGTGTGTTTGTTAGTCAAAGAACTGAAATTTCTAATATTTAAAATGAAGAGTCATAGCTGTTTTTACATCGACAAAGCATTGTGAGCTAGCCTTTTGGAGTGAATTTATTGCACTATATAACAAGGGGTTTTCTCAAAGTTCTTGTGTGTGAAGAACTCGCTTTCACAAGAATGTCTCTCTTGATTTTTTAACATGGTGCAGAACATGTCTTGTTGTTAAGAGTGACAGAGTTTTGCTGAAATCTCATATGGGGGATGAGGTCAGAGAGGAATGGTGGGATCTTGATTTCTTGATGGGGAATAAACTTGTTTTTGTATTTATAGAATTTAAGGAATCATATCAATATCCATTTCTGGAATTTTAGACCATATATCATGCTTTTTAGGATTTTTTATGCTTTACTCTTTTAGTCACGATTCATTTGTAAGAGTTTGTTTCTATCTGTATTGTGTCCGTAAGCTCATGTTCATGATCTGCAAAAGTATGAGTACAGAATATTATAAATGTGTAAATTGTTTTATTCAATTAATATTCCAACTTCTCTACCTGTGCCCTTTTTTTTTCCAGATGGGGATCAAAAAGAAACCAAGATGTGAGATTGATATCTCAAAGAACAAAGAGTCAGGGAATTAGAGTCTTAGCAAATCCAAATGTATGCATCACCCAAGGCTTCCACATGAATATCATTATATTGGTTTGAATGTGCTCAAAGATGTTTTAGGTATGCGATTAGTGATAGTTAACTATAGTGTACATAGCCACAGTTAGAATCGATTACTTACACACACACACTCCATTTAGTTCCAGACTAGTGATGTTATTTCTATGTAAAATAAGAATTATTTTCATGATACGAATGCACATTTCTCTCTGTCAAAAATACCCATCCACAATCTGAACAGAAACACAAAAAGATCTTTGAACCTGGGAAAACATTAGCCACTATTCTTTTCTAATTTTCAATTATCGGTGGCAAGGAAAGTCTCATGTCTCAAAAATGTCACTGTGCACAGCTGATGAGCTCATAGACATATGGTCAGCCCGCAGTGCGTATTGTCCTCTTTCCTATTTGTGTTGTAACGTCCGATTCTATACTTTTCTACTATTTCCAACTACTGAAATTTGTTTCCTATGCAAAAACAAGAGGAGTTTTAATTCGATTTTATTGCTTAAGGGAATGTTTGTAGACATAAATAGACACTAAGAAGTAAAATGATTACATTGTCAGATGTCTACTATCACCGTAGTTGCTTCGAATAGTGATTTTCTGCTACTTCCCACACTTCAATATTTTCAAGTGTCAGATAGTAATGCTGTTAAAATAGTTTTATGTAAGTTGTCTTGCTCCAATTATTGAGTATTTCACTGCTGAAGAAGTTCTATTTTCAAATTATATTATCTTATTTCCTTCTTCCATTATTCTTCTACTTTATGTGTAATGGGTGATCTAAGTATTTTATTATTGTTTTTCTTTTTCACTGTCCAATTGTTTGCCAGCCAAAGGCTGCTGTTATGTTATCATATAGACCTTTATCTTATAGAGAAGATATATGCTCTAGTTTTTTCTTATGCGTAGTTATTGTTTTGCTTCATATAATGATAAATTTGATTCCAAATGAAGAAACCGCTTATTTAAAGTTTTAGCAGCATTTACCTACTTAATTTAGACTTTATTCTTTCTAAATAAGGCCGTGCAGATTATAAATTAACCATTCTGATATGAATAATCTGCTGAAAATCTGGAAAGTGCTGGCTCGAACCATTTGTTTGTTATGAAATTTAATTATGGTAAATGCGTTTCCTTCACTGTTGGCCAAAGATAATTTTGCAACTTTTTTAAGCTATCAGCATAAACTTTGACACATGTAAATATGTGGGTAGTTCTTGTTTGTTGACTTTTTATAATTGAGTACTTCATCACTCCTTCAGCATTCGTTCTGCACAGAGAGTCTTTTATATGCATTTCTTTTCCATTAACAAGGGCATCATTCTTTTATTTTAAATAGGTATCTCCAGATAAAAGAAATTTTAGCAAAGAGGTGATCATGGTTGATCCCTTGGAAGCCAAGCGATTAGCTGCAAAACAAATGGAAAAAATTAAAGCAAAAGAGAAATTCAAAGTAAGTGGATTTACGTTTTCATTATTATGTTGTGTGCTTTGTGAAACTTTTAAATGACAAGAAAAGTGATGCTGTAATGAATCTAAACGACTTGCCTTCCATTAAAAGGCCTTGTCATTATCATGAACATTACTGCTGACTTGTGTTGATCCATTCAATGCAACATGAAGTTTATCTAAGTTGCAGAGATATTCTTGGAATTTGGTATTGTTGCTTCTCTTATGATTTGATAATTTGTGAAAAGATGGCATCTTTCACCCCCCTCAATTCCTAATTTATTAGAGATTGAACCACTAAATTCTACTCCACTCAAAATTAACTGCTTTTTTAACGCAAGCATCTGATTAATTTCAGCTAATCTAGAAAGAAGGATCAAAATGGAAAAACGACATTAAACCTCCGTGCCAAACTCTTTCGTTGGTCTTGTGATATTGTGCTGTAATATTCTTTAGCAGACCTTCCTGTTTTTTCTTTTCTCTCGATACATTGAAATTCAGTCGTCAATACCCTATGCTTCTTGATTTACCTCGACTGCACTTGATTTAGGTAGTTTTAAAAATGAGCACCTTACCAACCCCTTCTATGGCCACCTCTCTCTTCCTCTCGCTCTACCAACATGTAATTTTTGGAGTTTGAACCAAATGAATATGGTTAGATACTGGGTTATCGTCACTGTGAGGGAAATAGGTGGTGCATAATTTAGTTTCCCCTTTATCTTTTCAGTTTTCTCTCTAAATTTATGAACTTTTTGGGGTCCATGACAGATAGAGCATATACTTGGTGATATGGACTAGATAGTACTGAACTATAATAAAAACGATAAAGAAACAGAAATCTCATTAATTATAAGTCCGTGTCCTCTTTAATATTGAATGCCAAACATGCCTGTAATGGCTAGTGGGGCTCACCCTGATAATTATACTGGTCCCTTCTATATTCAATCTTTAGGTACTTATAACTGTCCTATTATTTCTTCATAAGGGATGTCCTGAGACAATATTCAACTAACCACCATGAACCAATTAAAAATAATAGAGAAGATAAGCAAAGGATAACTTTTACATTTACGTATCCTTTTTATTATTCTCTCCAAATGGGGCTTTCATGATCTCTAGCTTATTGCTGATACAGAGACAACGTCAAATTGAAGCAATTAATGGTGCATGGGCCATGATTGGCCTTACAGCAGGATTAGTCATTGAAGGCCACACTGGAAACACCATTCTGGCTCAGGTAAGTTTACTACAAAGGTTATATACTGAAAGTTATTATGCAGTTTTCCTTGGTGAAATTTAACAAGTCACCATCTTTGCTCTTTATTTTTTGATTGTGACAGTTAGCTGGATACTGGGCTGCTTTTATTGGTTTTTTCGTGAGATAGGCTTTAGCGCGGAGCTTAGGCAACTGCGGATTTTTACTGAATGATTCATTGATATTGGAATCTTAAACATCTTTTGCTTTAGCTTCATTCTTCTCGAATTATTGCACTAATTTTGTTGTATCTTTTTGCAGTCTTTGATGAACTTGTGGTATAGTGCTTTTACTCCTTTGTTCATTATTCTTGATTATGCTCGTCTATCTGTTGGAAAATCGATGCAATCCAGGAAGCCTTACAAGCATAATATCTAGTGCATGTTTGGTATGCAGTTTAGATAAGACCAGATAATCAATAATATAATAATCAAGATTTTAGCATCCAATACTATGTGATCCTGGGTATCAATACCTGCAATGATGCATTTGTTGTGTCAAGTCGGGTCTTGACAAGACCATAGATAAAACCATTCCAAACATCTCCTCTTAATGGTACTGAGCATGCAATACTATGTGATCCTGGGTATCAATACCTGCTATGATGCATTTGTTGTGTCAAGTCGGGTCTTGACAAGACCATAGATAAAACCATTCCAAACATCTCCTCTTAATGGTACTGAGCATGCTATCTACACAGGGATTATTCTACTTTACCCGGGCCACATGGCCCCTGGTAATTAAGGCTGGTGTGCCAGGGAGGGTGTCTAACCGAACACACACATTGGGGTGGGGGTGAGCATTTTTTTTCATTTTTTATTTCACGCGAGTCCCCATATCGGTCCCACGCCATGTGAGTTTAGGTCACCCAAGTGGACAAACATTTTCTGGCATACTAGCTTAATTCATACTCCTATACTCAGTTTTCATTAAATTTTGATTGATTGAATTTTAGTATGTTCTGAAAAATTCTGATTAGTTCATATGTTATACTGAGATGAGATTATTTTTTTAGTTTACTGAGTGATTCATCATTTTATTCTTCTCTTAGAAGCCCCTTTTTCCCTTTTTTCCTCAAATAAATACCTATTGTTATAAACTAGAGAATAAGATAAGAGAAATATAGAAACGAAACTCTTGTATGGAATCTATTGAGAATCAAAGTCCTATATTTATAAGTTAGAATTAGGGTCACATGGTAAAATGATCAATCGAAAATAATAATTAGGCC